CCATGTAGGTGGCTTTCATCCAGATGAAAAATAAACCGGAAATTCTCCGACTAAAATGCCTTGGATTTGTTTACAGTACATTATTGATGAATTAAATCATTTTTCCAGTTGCATTTTGAATCTATCGAGAATTTAATAAAAGTATCTATTTACATTAATATACAGCATATACACCTAATCTGATGTAATCATACTTCATACAATATATACTTTTAAATTGTGTATGTATATATATTATGCTTTTAAATTATATATATATATATACTGTTATTAAAATAGCCCTCGTGCAGCTTTATAGCGTGACGTTAATATAACTCACTGTCCCTCGTACTTTTATTAAAAAATAATTATATTAAAATATTTAATTTCTAAAATTTAAAGCAATTTCATGAAACCAAATAAATTTCAGATTTAAATAAAATGCAATTAAGCTAAACTGAAGCTGTAGATTCTGTCAATATTTAAAGATAAAAAACTGATGCACCATACATGGATTTTAAAAAATACAACGGAGAGATTCTCACGTTTTCTCTAAAAAAATTTAACTAAACTGAATTTAATATTAAAAAAAAGCGTTTGACAATTACAAAAACTAAAAAAAAAAAACTGTAAAACGTGAGAAAAGTATTTACCACTAAGAGATCTTTGAATATTATTTTATTAAAAGAAGATATATCAAGATTCGAAGTAAACAGTGTTATTTACCTCTAAATGATAGAGATTTAGGTTATTTTCCTCGTAAATTTTGTTTTTAAAAAAATTTCTCAAAAAGAGAATGACAAGAATTCATTAAAAATATCACCGAATCTATTAAAAATAGCTTTCGAAGCGCTTAAAAAGATCCATTGACTCGATTTTATTTCCATACGAATTCTCTCTAAAAAATTCCAAATACGATAAACATCCCCGATCACACATTCTCTTAACCCATTCCTCTACTTCCTGCATTCCATCTCATTGCCAATTCCATTTGACTAAATAGCCCTCGCAATAATCGTCAACAAATGAGCGTCCGACGTCAACACGTCGCTCACAGGACACGAACTTGTATTTTTTTTTTGCTATGTCTGCTTGTTACCTGTTGCACCTTGTAAGCGTGTTGGCGCCCTTTGATTTAGCAACTGTTACGCGCCCCTCTAGGGGGGCAATTGCCCCTGGGGCTTCGTCTAGGCGGCGCCTGGACCCCTAGGGGGCCCCTCCCGTGATCTATGACGTTAATTGGATAGACTGGAGGCTCAGAGATGCTTGTCATTGGGGTGTTGCAGGTATTTTTTTACCTTTTTTCCGACTAGGATTGTTTTGATTTCATTTCTGTTCGTAATTTTAGGAATTTGGGGAAAAAGAACGGACAATCCTTTTTTTAGGTGTGGTGGCAACATGGGAAATGGCATTCCTTTCCTTTGTCTTCAATGGCATTTTGCGGAGGATCTTTTCTTTCAAGTGCTCAAGTTCCGTTTTAGTGGTTGGCGCAGGGAACCACTAGTGTGTTTTGGTGCGCCCGTGTGTCTCCCTGGCGGAATTTTGAATATTTATCCTGACGGAATAAAGATATTCGAGGTGACGCCGCTAAAATTAACCGATTTAAACGTTACTCAAATAAGATATGCTTCTGAAAAACTTGATATGATAATAGATTTTCAAATTTGAAAAATTAATTATAGTGAAAAGCATTGTGTTTTCAGTACACAAAACTGAATAATAAATTATTTAAAATTTTTAAAATGGAGTAATTAAATTGATTTTTTTCTCAATTCAGTCGTTATATGTTAGATCAGCAGTTCTCAAACTGTGGGGCGCCCCCCCCCCCCTTAGGGAGGCATGATAATCCTACGTGAGGGCCATGACCATATCGAGTCTTAAGTAAAAGATTATTTAAAAAATTATTAATTTATTGAAAAGAAGCAAAACAAAATATATTCTGACATAATAAAAATAAAATGCACATTTACACTTATATAATTCACTCATAAATGTATTAGAACTGCACAATGTATTAGAAAATTATCAATACTAAATTAAGAACAAGTTTATATAATAATTACTAGTTTAGGAAATGGGAATAGTATTCGAAAAACTTTTTTTTTCAGTACAGAAAATTCATCGTCCACCTCTGTCTAAAATTCAAAGATTGATTTATTACTAAATTAGCTTTTGATTTCGACACTTGACGTGAAATCTATGAAGATTTCTTCTTCAGCATTTGAGAGTCTTTCTATATCAAGGTACTTAGCAACCTTGGTACCTTCTTTAACTAAAAACTATTTTGTAATGTTTTAATTTAAAAATTAGAAAAGGAAGGTAGCATAATACTTACTTTTTTATCTCATTTTAATTAAAAATATAACTTAAAATATCTATTACTTAAGGCATCCGACTACTTGCAACAATTTTTTTTTTAAAAAAAATAAAGATATGGAGATTTTTTTGTGGTTTTTAGATTTATTTAGTACATTTTGAGAAAAAAAGGCTAAAATTAAGAGGAGAAAAATAAATTATTACTACTAAAACGGAAAAAACTGGTAAAAATTTACAAAATATTACATAAACGGGTCCCGCTCTGTACAAATATTTTATGAACAAATTCACAATTTTTCAAATTTGATGTGTTACTTTGTTATTCATGTTTGAAATGACCATTAGGATAAGAGATATTTTAATTTTTACAAAAACTAGAGCACTTTATTTCAGTTATTAACAGTAATAAAACAGTGATTGATAAATATGAAGGTTAAAACACCTCTACTGTTATGCAGAATACATACACAAAATTTCTGCAAATTATTTAAAAAACTTTTTGAGCCATCGCTGTCCCCGTTTGAACTTTTCGAAATAAAAACACATTTCGAGTAAATCACATTTTAAAGCACGTCTTATGTAAAGTTATGGCATCTGTTTTTACTAAAACACTTGTAGTCTTTGTTCTAGTGAACGGAAAATAAAAAACTCGGTATTTTTATAAAGTTAATAGATGGCTTGTATAAAATAAAATCATAAAAAAAATTTTGTCAATTTTTTTAAAAAATCATGATTTTAGGGTAGTCGGATACTTTAAAAGTAACATACAAAATTTAATATTTATCTTGATAATTTGTACGGTTTATAATTAGGGTCGTTTTTTGTAGAGAGAGTTAGCTTTAAAGTACATTATTGTATAGCATTAAACATATTGTTATTGATTGGGGGAGGGGCGCGATGAAAATTATGATTAAAAATTTTATCGCAAATATTGAGAATCACTGTGTTAGATACTACTTCATTGACAATAAGTTTTTGAATTTCGTTATTGATGATTTGTTTAACTGTAACTCAATTTTTTTTATTTATTACACGCCTTATGGTTTAATATTTTTCAGTCAATAGAATTTTCGATATTTTTCAATTTTATTTTCACCGATCAAATACTGTTTTTCGAGAAGTGTCTTTCTTTCATTCTTTTAAATAAAATTGCCTCGAGTGGTAAAATAAAAACAAAATCTTTATTTCTAAATACTTTTTTAGAAGTAAATAAACAGCAAAATCCAAATACTTTTGCCTTCTACTTAAAGTTCCATTGGTATGACGTGAAAGTGTGGAGAGTGGAATGCCAGCTCGGATGTCGATCTCGTCACTTGACTACGGTTCAAAATTGCAAGGCTTGTTACCAACAGCCTTCGTGCAGCTTCATATAACATGAGGTTAATAAATAATCAATCACTCTAAATTTCGATTAATTTGAATTTCTTCTTCATTTTTGAAAATATACCCGTTCCGTTAATTTTGTTCATAGATTTTTAATATTTTACTCATCTGATTAATTATTTTGATCACGTTACGTGTAGGTACCACGCTAACGAAATCTAACCAATAATTATTTAATCTAACCTAGGTTCTTCAAAATTTCTTCATTTTATATTACCCAGTATATATGGAATGGACTAATAATGAATTAATATGCATTCACAAATTTCCAGTCTTCAGTCTGGATGAATTTCGAACGTAAGGAAGTACCTAGTTGACCCCCATTTCTGGTCTAAATAACTCGTTATATAGTAAGTATAGAATTATACGGTAATACCTCGACTTATACGCGAACCCAGAGTTAAGCGATTTTCGAATCTCGTCAATTTTTTTCTTTCTTTTCAAATCACTGATACTTAGGCAAAATCAGTGCCAGAGCCTGATGAAATTGGTATTGTGATTGAAAAAGTTGTCAATCTTGCCTGACAAATAAATTTAGAAGATAGTGTGATGAACTGTGCTGGATAGTGATAGCAAGAACCGCTGGATTCCCACAATCAAGAACTGACAACTGATGATTTTGTAGAAATGCATGAAAAAGAGCAAGACATTGAAGAACTTGAGTTGTTAAACCCAATTCAACCAGAAGATCCAATGACGGTTGGGAATTTGACAGAAAGCCTTTCTACCAATTTTAGAAAATATAAACTCCAACAAAGAGCGTATTTTTTCAACAAAACAAGGAATAGAAAAATATATTAGTATGCTACGAAGAAATTTTGAAGAGAAAAAAAAATCTTTGTGAACCGGCTGAATACTTTGTTAGATTTTATTATACCTTCTACATCAAGAAACTTCGATTTGTGATTTTGTATTATCTTTTTTGAAGTTATACTTCTTTTGGGGCGTGAGAGAAATAGGATGAGGGTAAATTTTTACATTGCGCGCGCACACCGTCACGGATGTGACACAAAACCGTCACGGATGCGAAAATCCTTTATCTAGAAATATACAGAACGGGACAAATCATTCCCGCCTTCAAAATTCTCAGAAAAATATTTCTCTTCACTTCCCTGAAGAAGGGGACACCTGGGTTTGAACCAGAGACCTCTCGATCTGCAGTCGAATGCTCTACCACTGAGCTATACACCCGCGTCAGCGAACCTTTGCTTTGTGTTTCGTAGGAACGTATACGAAAATGCTTTGTCTAGAAATATACAGAACGGGACAGATCATTGCCGCCTTCGAAATTCTCCAAAAAATTATTCCTCTTCACTTCCCTGAAAATGGGAACTCGGGTTTGAACCGCGAGGACCTTCCGATCTGCAGTCGAATGCTCTACCACTAAGCTATCCATCTCGTGTCAGCGAGACCTTGCTTTGCGTTCCGTAGGAACGGATACGAAAATGCTTTGTCTAGAAATATGCAGAACGGAACAGATCATTCCCACCTTCGACCCCCTCCCCATGTTATTGGTCCTATTGTCCCTGTGCGGGGGTGTTTAAATTTATTTAATTCGGGATTATCTCAGGTTTGGCTGGTCTGATTGACTGAAGGTTAGTACCGTTCAACTCTGCTCGTGACCGCCTTTCGTCCTTGGCCCAGCTTGCCCTGCAAAAGATTTTTAGAAAGATTTTAATCTTGTTACGCCAAAGAAGTATAACTTCTTACGTGCGTACATGAGTACACACACACTTTTTATATTTTACTAAACATTCCCCCTCTAAATTACTATTTTCTTTTGTCTCCGGCCCCAACTAAAGATAGCTTATATGAATTTATATGCGAAATTATACCCTGACTTCGCGGTTATTACTTAATCCCATCTATCACGTAAATTCGGGTTATTACTGTATAAAGAGGTGTTGAGCGCTGTACAGAGAAAATGAGAAAATAAAAGGAAGATAGTAACCTCTAGATAAATCCTTCTTGCCACGATAATAAGGATTCCACTCTATTTTATTCAATCAGAAAAATAGTACAAAAATATAATAAAGATTACATTTTAACAGAGATAAGAAAAAAATTAATTTTCATGAGTCAGTTCCAAATGTTAAAATGGTTGCTAAAAAGAGCATCCGAAAACAGCTCTTTCAGAGCTGATTGACAGTACTGTGGGCTCCAAACGTATTTGGTGCCATAATTTATTGTTGCTACAGACAGAATTAACTGCATACCATGAATGCTCGAGAGCCTGTGAAGATCATTTTCCAGAATTATACTCATTCTAGAAGCTATAGTTAATGACATGAAAACCACAAATTTCTCACTTCAGTTTGTGTCATATTTACGACTTTGAGCCTGACCCCCACTCTGCACTGAGATCATTACGGGTTTGAGTGGCCGGCCCTCTCAGCTTTTGTTAGTCAAAAGAAGGAAAGTTCAGCACTCCTCTTGACAAGGGCGGATTAGCGCCTGGGCCAATAACCCATATACGGTTAAGGCTGCATTGCTGCTTGCTACATTCGGGGGTATGACAGTCGAAATACTTTTATCCAGTTTTTGTAAACACTTTTCAATAATTCAGATCCTTTTAAAGAAATATATATATATATATATATATATCATTATTTTCGCCAAAAATACATGTAACATTTAAACATTTATCTTTACATAGTTTAAATTGTTTTTGTTTTAATGTCAATTGATTGACGATGTCAGATAGAGACCCACAAAATTCATCGCGGTTGCTAAATATACGCCTGTCGTTAGCCGTAGCCTTAAACACCATGCAGGTGACAGTACGATTTAGCACGGTTCCACCCTAATTTTAAGGGAGAACATCCTGGGATGCTCAGGGGCCTCCTACTTCTCTTCCCCTTCCACCAATTTCACGAAAGGACTTGCGGCTCAACGGCTATTTAGAGTACCTCCTGCTTCAAAGGCACTATGTATTTACAAACATCCAGCCTTCTCCGGGTTTCGAACCAAGGTTCTACAGCACAGCAGTCAGCGGCACTAACATTATACCGGATGGGTGGCTAGTTTAAATTTTTTCTTGTTCGCATTTACTTCTGGGCAATTATGGATTTGTGATGCTTCACAAGCAAGTAGTAGTAAAAAATTGCAGCCTGTGTGTGAGAACTATGAAAAATCCGCTAACATTCGCCTCAGTTATATTTTTAAGAAAACAACTATTTTTAATCTCGAGCAAAAGAAAATGTCTTGCTCTTCGTCGGATCTACTGAATTAGTTTTCCTCGATCTATCGTGTATTTCCTCATATTAAGACGAAAGTTCATTTCTTCCAAAGGCGTAGCTACTGCTGTATCAACCATATCTATGATACAGGGCCCCCAAAATAAAGGAGCCACAACAAGTGTAAGCAAAACAATAATAAAATGTTTAGGGACCTTCCAAAAGGGCCACAATGGAATTTTGATACAGGGCCCACTCAGGACTAGCTACGCAAGTGGTTTCTTCAAAAAATTATATAAAATTCAAAAATCGTAGAAAAGCCGAATTGGGTCGGGGGGGGGGGCAAGGGTGAAATAAATTAAAATGTAATTTTTAAACGTGTCGTCCCGAGGGCAAAAATGTTTCTAAACGGTGGAGTGTTCTCCAATCAAATTGCTATAAATTTAAACGCCAGACGCCAACGATGATGGTTTTATTTATAGTAGCCCTGTCTGAATGGGAAGAGAAATACATATACAGCACGTGATTGTCGACCTAAACTAGCTGCATGATGACCATATGCATCCAGTGAGTGAGTGAGTAAGTGATTGAGTGAATATTAACGTCGCACAACGACTCTAAGGCTTTTGGTAATGGACCTCGTAATTTTGAACCATGGTCAGATGACGAGAATGACACCTGAGCTGGCACCCCTCTCCTAACTTCCACACCAAACCAACGGGAGGATGTTTCAGCCTCGACATATTTAACGTGCATCGGCCCCTCTACACGGCGGGTCTTCAGCGATACTAGGCTCCAACTCACGGCACGCCGGCCAAAAGTTCGTTACCTTGACCACTAAGTTACTGCGGCTATATCCCAATGAGTGAATCTAAATTTTAGAACAATTCAAGAATTCAGACATTGATTTTGAAGGATTTAGAAGACTTTTCTTTCTTTTAGGTTAAAAGTATTATTTAAGGCATCTAAATAATTAAAAGATTCAAATCGCTAGCTCACATAGCTGATGGAAAACGCTAAAAAATCGTGTAGTTTCCGTATATAAACCGACCCCCTTACTTTAACTTTGTAATAGTTTAAAAAATTCCCGGCTTATATAATTAAATATACAGTATTCACTTAATTAGTGAAAATCATTTAATGAGACAAATTTTATTTAGTGAAAAGCACTCCACTAGAACTAATCCATCTACTCTTGACGCCAGAGCTCCTCATTCCTGATCCTCAAGGTGGTGTGGTGTGAAAGTTTGGGAAGTGGGGTGCCAGCTCAGATATCATCCTCGTCACAAGACTGTGGTTCGAAATTACGAGGTCCGTTACCAATAGCTTACACACGGCTTCAAAATGCGAAGTTCATAAAAAGTCAAATCAAACCAAACCACTCTATTCTTGATCTAAATCTAATCTAATGAAATTGTCAATACGGGGATCACACAATATCTCAATTTTCACGTGTTTGAATCGTAGCACGAGAACATTGTATAAATGAAATACGTTCAAAAACGTATGACGATTTTTAATTTATTATCGTCACTTGACTATTGGTGATGAACATGTCTTTGATTTATATCCCTTCCACTAGAAAGGTGCATCTCTGTTATTACAGTCGAATCTCCATATAACGAACCTCTATATTGCGAATTTTTCTATATAACGAACTTTTTCTCTTGTGATTCATTTTTTTTCTCACAATTTTTGAAGTATTTCTGGACATTTTGAGTTATTCTCTCTTTTAACACATTTTACGGTGGTTATAAATCTTGAACTGGTTTTGTTGGGGGGCCTAACTAACCGAGAGCAATAGAATTCTGGACATTTCATCCAAGAAATGCAACCTTTAACCCCCACTGTCCAATTCACTGGAAACATCTTCGATGTCCTCTTTCACACTCAGTGGAGTCTCGTATCCCTGAACTAGTCTCCGTTCATTTGTAGTATTGATCAGTCGTTCGGGTAACTTCGCGTATTGTTGCTCGAAAATGTCAAAACGTAAGTGCTGGAGCATCATTGAAAAAAATTCTTTAGGAAGTGTATAAAGGCGTCAAGAAACTTTTCTTACAGATTTTTTTTCTTTTCTTTTTTTTATAGGTAAGATATACAAAATAAATATATATTAATTTACAAAAAGGTGTGAATAATTACTTTTTTAATGTATAATATTTATGAATTTAAAATTTGTTTTATGTGGTTTATATAAAGAAAATTGAAAGAGGAATCTCTGTATAACGAATTTTCCATAAAACGAAATTTTTTTCGGGATTTAGCGACTTCCTTATGTAGAGGTCCGACTGTATATTGCTATTTTTGCAAAATCATACTACACTTTTAGAAAAATCAAGTTATAAATTTAGCATTTATTTAACTTCATTTCTGAAGCCAAGAGCCAGTAAAACGTTTTTAGTATTTCACGTCTGGCTAAGGTCAGCCCACACTACAATAAACACAAGTATACAATCTACAATTTATCTCCATTGACCCCAGTCCCTTCTGCTTTCAACACAACATGTGGCATTAAAACTTCTTTCAATGGCCTCGAAGTAGATTCGCCCCTGAAATTGCAGAACAAGACGTACGAATACTTTTTCGGGCGTCATCCGAGGAGCAAGAAACACCCTGAAACATTAAACAGGACAAAAGCCAACGTGATACTATCCTCTGTGATCCCTCCATACCACGAATATTCTTTTCCCCAAAAAACTCCCATCGAAATACTTGTCGGCTGACGAATCATTCCAAAATTGCATTTACTAGTTGTTCTTGGAACGAAAAACCGTCGGCGTCGCTGTTTCTGGAACTTTTTCACCTAAATTCGAGTTCTTCTAATTGACAATTGAGTAAATAACTGATCTCTAAACGATTTCAGTAGGTGGGGGACTCTACTGGAAGATGGTAATTAAGTTTCATTCTCTGCTTTTTGATTTTTTGTAAGGTTCTTTTGATGATCTCTGCTTGGAATGCTACAGATATAGGCCTATTTTTTCCCCGTTAAATAAGGTCTTGCGACAGATTTATTTCTGTTGGGTTTTTTCTGCCGTTGTTCTGCAGCCCCTTTGTGTGTTCATTCAACTCCCAAGTGGAATTTTAGTGGTTTTCTACAAAAGAGAACAGCCCTTTCCTTGAACGTAATTTTGGATGGAATTCAACCCCCTCCCCCTTCTGGAACCTTGAAGAGATTACTTGGAAAGTTTTCCTTCTTAATTGAGTCAATTAAGGCTCCAATCC